TGGTTGGAGGTGTGGAACTTACTCTGTCAATGGCAGCATCTGTTGCTGCACTGCTGCTGATATATATTTTTCGTTATTTATATATTTTTCATTATTTATGTAATTTAGAATTTCCTTTGTCTGGGTAGGTGTGGTGCTAAACAATCTGGGGAGTTAGGATCATCAAGTGAAGCACTAGATGGGATACTTGGATTTGGACAAGCAAATTCATCTATGATTTCACAGCTAGCTGCAGCTGGGAAAGTAAAAAGTATGTTTGCACACTGTTTGGATAATATAGATGGAGGTGGAATCTTTGCAATTGGTGAAGTGGTATCACCAAAAGTGAACACAACTCCTATGGTTCCAAACCAGTAAGTGACCTATCTTCTTAGTTTCTTCAATATCTATGGTTTTTATAACGTATGACTTACAATTTAATTTTTTCACATTGTGGATGATATTGGCAATGAACTTCTTGTTGAGGCCTCCAAATTTTAATTTTTCCTTCTGCTTTCGCCACCCTTCTTTCTGATTTAGTTATTTTAGGTGTATCTTTGTTTTCTTGTTGCGTGGATGTACAAGTCCAATATTGCCTGCTGTAGATCATGCACAATATTGTTGGACAATGGTGTAGCATAAATTTTGGTTAATTTGCCCCTGAGTGTTATGGTTGTGTATGACAAATTGCTCAAGTTTTTGTGTGTAGTAATTAGACATTGACGGTTGTCCTGGATAGCAATGACCTTCGTGATTACACTCAAATCCATATATATTTTAGATCTCTATTAAGCAGTGAATTGAAACACCTATTCTTAAATTCATCCACTCATACTCTCTCAAATAAACTGATACATGGTATCTTGAGTAACTCTTTATGTTGTCTGCATTCATACTCATTTACATGTACAGCAAGCTTGAGTTCAAATTCACCATCTCAATTTTTTCTCTCCCAAATGAAGCATAAGGAATTCACGGAGAGCAATATAGATGAAATTCACAGCTAAAAGGCTGGTCTTCTGGTTACCACGGTCTGGAAATGGAAGAAAAACCTATTCTGAGTTGCTAACACCAAAGTTGGAAACTTCTCTACAAAAGAAGAACACTTTAAATAGCACAAAACCCTCATAAGTGAAAACCCTAGCCCATAAAATGAGTCTAATCTCAACCATCTGAAATAACATATGCTATGTTTGGGAATATGAATTCAGGAGAGTGGATTTGGATTTGGTTTATTGTATAAATTGTGAAAGATGAAATGCACACACTATGTAAAAATTAATTAAGATTCCATATACCTTTGTATTTGAAAGGGTATAAGAAGATGGATTTTAAAATTTATAAATTCATATAGGTATTTCAAATTCACCACTAAATAGAGATCCAGCAAATTCATTAATTTGAAAATAATCATGAAAATCCTGTTTACATGTGTTTTATTACCGAACTTATACTAAATTTTAAATGCAACTCCCCTCTTTCAAATTCAAGTTATCAGATGCTAACACAAAAAGACATAAACAAAAACCTATTATAGTGACATGAACAGCATTGTATTACATAACTGCTATAGTAATATTCAGTTTAATTTTTGTTCTGCATTGCTAAGCAGAGGGAGAAAATAGCTTGCACTAAATCGACTATAAAGATATGTCAAGGGAAACTAGGTAGGGGAAAATGTACTCGAATACTATTTCTCCTTAGGAAATAATTTTTCCTGGAGCACCTAGTTATGGTTAATTAATTGTCCTTTTTTTTAACCTGATAGTAGAGCATCAATTACTTTGATTGACATGTGCAAAATTGTGTTGGGATCTTTCCATGATATCAATAATTTATGGTGCATCATCCTTAAGAAACATTATGAGGTCATGAGTGACAAATTTAACCTTTTTCTTTTACTGGAGTTTGGTTATGGATTGCCTTGCAGTTTTTAAGTTTTTGTTTAAGGTTTTATTTTCTTACATCAATCAGGAGAATTCTTGGTTCATGAATTCATAATTATACTTTTATCAACAATCTTAGGGCACATTACAATGTTGTAATGAAGGGAGTTGAGGTTGGTGATGCTCTACTAGAACTTCCAAGTGATATTTTTGACAGCGGAGATCGAAAAGGAACAATAGTTGATAGTGGTACAACCTTAGCATATCTTCCATCGGCAATTTATGAACCACTAATGAATAAGGTAAGCGTCAATCCTCACCTTACTTTGATTTTGACATTGTCTATTGATAACTCACATTGTACTTTTTCTGTCAATTAGATTTTCTCCCAGCAGCCCACATTGAAATTACATACTGTAGAGGACCAATTTACTTGTTTTACATTTGCGGAAAAGTAAGAAACTTACTGCAATTGTACTCTCTGGTATATATGTTGGGAATGCGTATATTTTGTCTGTCTGTGATATGCATAATAGTACAGTGCTGATGCCACACAATCAACTTCTGATGTTCCAGATGTTGGTTACTTCATTTTTGGACATTTACTTTAATCTGATCAATAAATGTGTTATGTTTTAATTTTCCTGCTGCCATATATAAATATTTTTCTTCAATAGTATTTGTGTTTTTTTGTGACTAGTTATGCTGATTTTATTTGTTCTAGTCTTTTGAATTGATAGATATCTCATTTTGGATTCAGTTTCAAACTGATAGCATTGTTCATTATTGTTATGGAGTACTACCAATAAGGAAAGAGCATTTGACCAAGGATGCAACTTTAAGAAAAAATTATTAAAAAGGCAAATTCTTTGCATTTATAAGCGTTTAATTTTTTCTAAGAGCAAGAAGTACTGAGTTGAGAGGGCATGGTTTACTGCAAAATTTTTGTTAATTTTAAACAACCAAAATGACCAGAAAATGTTGTTTAGCTTGGAATCAGAGTTTTGGCTTATAATATCTAACAAGTTAGAAATATCACAAAATTGTAATTAGTGATGATTAGATCTTTCATCCCACTCTTGTCAAAAAGATGTATGGTGTGGTAGTG